TTTATGCATTTATTGGTTGATTCTTGTATGTGCCTTGACTGGGAATCAAATCCACAACCTTGGTGTATCAGGACGACACTCTAATCAACTGAGCTACCTGGTCAGGATTGAAATAATATATTTTTAAACTTTAAAGACTATAACTAATTTCATCATAAGAGAACTTAGTTGAGCATAAGCTGTTGTTATACAACTATGGAATTATTCCAGAGAAGTATATTATAATGAATATAATTGATTATCGAAAGTATCGGGTCTAGTGATAATTAATGTCGTTTTTTAACATTCGTTTAAAATCTTGCTTGGCGTTGACTTGTATTGACAGAACCTTCAAACACGTGGTATCTACAGAACGTGTGAAGTGCAATTAACAAGTTTTGCTTGAAAAAGTTTGTGTTTGGTTTGGTTTTTGTTGCAAAACTAGGGCTAAGAAGATGGCGGATGAAGAGCATATTCGGCACTGCATGCTTTACGAGTTCCAATTAGGAAGAAAAGCAAGTGAGGCTGCAAAAAACATCTGTAGTGCTCTTGGTCAAGATGCAGTTAGCGCCAGAAAATGCCAGCGTTGGTTTGAGAAATTTCGCGAGGGAAATTTTTCGTTAGATGACAAGAGTGGTAGAGGCCGTGTGTCCAATTTTGATCAAGAAGCTCTTCAAGCTCTTTTGGTGCAAAATCCTCAAATTACCCAACAAGAGCTTGTGACAACTTTAAATTGTTCACAAAAAACAATTTCCAATCAATTGCGTGCACTTGGCAAAGTCCAAAAGTTTGGAAAATGGGTTCCTCATGAGTTGACGGACAACAACCGTAATCAAAGAGTCACAATTTGCAGTTCGCTCCTCTCTCATCAAAACCGTTTGCCGTTTTTAGAGCAAATTGTTACCGGAGATGAAGAATGGGTGCTGTATGTTAATTTGAAAAGGCGGCCTCAATGGTTGGACAAAAATGAGGCTCCGCAGCCCACGCCAAAACCTGACTTGCATGCGAAAAAAGTGATGTTGTGTGTTTGGTGGAATTTTAAAGGAATTCTTCATTATGAACTTTTACCATCTAACCAAACCATTACAAGTGCAGTGTATAGTGCCCAGTTGGAAAGGTTAGCCCAAGCTTTAAGAGAAAAAGAACCCGCGCTGAATAATCGGAAGGGCGTCATTCTTCACCACGATAACGCACGACCGCATACTGCAAGAATCACTGCTGAAAAACTGCGCCAGTTGGAATGGGAAGTTCTCCCTCAACCTGCATATTCTCCTGATATTGCCCCTTCCGATTACCATTTGTTTCGTTCTTTGCAAAACTTTCTTCTTGGAAAAAAATTTAATAATGAAGAATGCCTCAAAAATGCATTGACCGAATTTTTTGCATCAAAATCACAAGAATTTTACAACAGAGGGATTAAAATGCTTCCTGAGCGTTGGGCACAAGTAGTAGAAAACAACGGCAACTATATTGTTGATTAAATTTTGTTGTATTGTTTAAATAAATTCGATTTTAAAAAGTATTAGAAAACAACATTAATTGTTACTAGACCTAATACTTTTATTTATGAAGCATCAGCTATTGAATATATTCCCTTGCTAATATTTTCTTTTAGGTTGAGTCTGTAGGTTTGCATTTTTATAATTGTGAACCACTGTTACAGGAGATACATATATTTTACCAATTTTTAGTTCGTATTTGATTAATTTTATTAGAACTGACTTATAAGTTGTTTTGCTTATATCCTTAATTTTAATTACAGAGAAATATTAAAAGGCTGAATGAAATTGTGTTCTGGAGACATTTATATAGTAACAGAACTCTGCTTCTCTTTTCCTCCTCCTTTCTCTCCTTCTCTACTTTCTCTCCCCCGCCTCACCCTTGTTTCCAAGAAAGAGGAGCCATATGTCATGTTTTGGTAAAGAATAATCTGGTGCAGAGTTTTTCATTTCCTCAGCTGACTAATGCAAATTAGCTGACAGAGTGGTGGGCGCCAGATTACCATGAAATGTGCCATTGTGTTAGTAATGTCCAAATAATACTTTCAGGTTCTGAATTTTTGGTGGAAGTCAAGGTACAACTCATAGCTCCTATAAAGAAAAAAATTTTCTGATAGTGGGATAACTTCTTGAGGAAAGGAAGACTATGTTTCATTCAATAATTTATAAGAAGGCAACTGCGTTACATCTCCATAGGTCAACTCCTAGGGTGGTTTTCCATTTGGTCCTATTCCTCACAATGTGTGTGTTTGCATTTACATTTCAGAAATGTAATCAGTAATTCACAATATTTATTGTAAACTATGAGTAAAGAGTTAAAACATCCTATGAGTACTGGTAACTATGCATTTAGAAAAGATTTCCAAATGTTCTGAATTTAAAGAGGCATACTTTTATTATATGGCAAACTCACCCAGAATCGCTGCTAGTCCCCTCTTTCCCTTGCTTTCCCCTTTTCAGTTGGTAGAGGTAAAGAACACATTAACATTTATTTTCTTTGATTAAACTTTCAGAAAAAACATTTGAACTTTAATTTTTTCCCAAAGCAATAATTAGAGAGACAGTTCCTATATGTTTATGGTCTCTGTAAGTGAGCTTATAAGCTTTATCTTTAATGAATACTTAAACCTTTTAAATAATTAATACTAACTTTATTCTAAGTACCCAAGAAGTTGGAATTTTCTCATTTTTCTGAAGAATGAATTTTTATGCCCTATCATAATCAGGTTATTTTTTTTCCCTAATCTATATACTAAATCTCCCCAGATAGTAACCAAATGAAATTTTTTATCATTTTCTCTTTATTTAAAACAAAAATAAGCTATCATTATGCTCTTTCTCAACTTTTAAAAAACTCTTCTGCTCTGGCCTCGTAGCCCAGTTAGTTAGAGCATCATCCTGCTGCACCAAGATTGCCAGTTCGATCCCCTTTTAAGGCAGATACAAGAATCAACCAATTATGTATCTCTCTCAAATCAATAACTTAAAAAGTTAAGAAAACATTAAAAAAAAAAAACTCTTATAACATTTTTATTTTTTCTAACATATTCTCCTGGACTAAACTCTGTTCTTCTAATACACAGTATGTAAGCCTTGTTATCCAATTTATATATTAATAAAGTAAGATTTTTATACCTTGAAGGACTTAATATTTAATTCGGTCCCATTCTAATATAAATAATAAAACAGATCTGCAAGTATCAATCTGTCTTGGGTCATTTAATATCTGTATATCTCAAAATCATACTGCTAAACTCAAATCCATTCTTTCTACTGTACTGTGTTCTCTTGTATGAATTATTTTTCTTTTATTATTTTGATCTCCAAAGAAGTAGAAATAGAAACTGAAAAGGGTGAGGGGAAGCATTTGTATTATATATAATGTCTTAGAACTTGTTTAATTTCAAATAAACTCAAAATAACTTAAACAAAAGGAGACTTGTTTATTGGCTATCTTACGCTAAAAATGCTCTGGCCTGGATCTAGATGCTTAACAGATGTCAGGAATCTCTCTCAACTCTTTCCTTTCTCTGTATATACTTTATTTTCAGGCAGGCTCTCTAATATAACGGCAAGTTATGACTCCAGTAGCTCTAGCTTTACATTCTGCCTGCTTTAGCAAATGTGGTAGGAAGAGAACTACAATTTGAGCTAAAATTCCTAGATTAGGTTCTAGCTCAACTAGATTAGGGTATGTACCTATTTCTTAACTAAACACTCTGGCCAGAGGCTTGGGCATTTATCTGAAGCTGAAGAATAAGGCCCACCTTCCACACCCACAAACCACTGGAAGAACGATAGCTTCTCCAAGGAGAAAGGATGCTGTGTGGAGAGAAAAATGGCAGTGGTCTGCTGCATGCTAGTCTTCAGGATTCTGTGGTTCATGCACCACAATTTAATACATTATTCTTTAGTTAGTTGCGTAGAATTAAAGCACTATAATACGCTAAACTTTGGAGATTCTTTTTAAATAGGAAAAATAAGAGCTCAAAGAGGTCTTACTATTTTTTTATTTTCTGTGTGTGGTTTTTTTTGGGTTTTTTTGTTTTGTTTTGTTTTTTACCACATAATAGGTATACTATTAGTAAAACCCAGGATGGGGGAGTAAAAAGTTTTAGAATCAGCTCTGGAGGCAACCAATGGATATCTAGATCTTTCTCTCTGTCTCTCTCTCATCAACCTATCCTCAGGTCAGGATTAAAAAAATGTTTTAGAATCAGATTCACATTTAGATTCAGATGCAGGTTTTGAGCAAAATATTTTATGTTCAGATTTTTTATCCTTAAAATAAGAGGTGATAGAATGTTTTTGGTAGAGTTGTAGTGTTAGGAATATATGTAAAATGTTTGGCATGTTGTTTAATATACAATAACTACTGTTATATGTTGTCGTTGTAATAATAGCCATTCCTAAGAGCCACATTTCTTCCTTTGGTGAGTTACTTTCCTGTGATAATCTTGTGATCATTCTGAAATGTAGTTTTCCAAGTTACAAGCAAACATTGCATATTAAAATAATCTACATTATTTCTGAATTTAGAACTGAAGTAGAAAATTACTTTTTTAACTGAGAAATCTAGATTGTGAATTCATAGTAGAGAAGATGATCTGAGAGTATTGATGCATAGAATATGAACAAAACATTACATATCTTGTGGTATCTAGGTAGTATTCTGGTTTGGTAGTTAGTTGTATAGAATTATAGCACTAAAAGATGTGTATAACCTATACTTTTAAGTCTCTTTCTAAAGAAGTTAATCATATACAAAGATTTACATAAACAACTAAGGATTAAAAATAATTTATTAAAAATATATCAGACAAATGTAAATTACAATGGCAGATGATGTTGCTCTGATTTACTGTTAATGAGCTGCATTTTAATATTAATCATTTAAGGTCAAATTTCTAATGTAAATATGTTCTTCAGTGGGTACAACCCAGTTACCACAATAATTTAAGTGAAACAATTATAATGGAACTTTTCTTTTGAATTTGGCTTTTCTCTTTTTCTGTCCACCAGGGAGTAACTATTCCCAGTCAGAGGCGCTATGTGTATTATTATAGCTACCTGTTAAAGAATCATCTGGATTATAGACCAGTGGCACTGTTGTTTCACAAGATGATGTTTGAAACTATTCCAATGTTCAGTGGCGGAACCTGCAGTAAGTGCTCCAAATCCTCATTCTCCCATGTACTGGAACACTTTTCTTAACATATGTAGAAGTTTATATAAAAATCGGCTGGTGTCGCTCAGTGGTTGAGTGTCAGACCTAGGAATTAAGAGGTCACATTTCCATTCCCGGTCAGGGCACAAGCCTGGGCTGTGGCTCTAACCTTAGTGGGGCCATGCAGGAGGCAGCCGATCAATGGTTCTCATTATTGATGTTTCTATCTCTTTCTCCCTCTCCCTTCCTTTCTGAACGCAATAAAAAAATATTTATTTCTGAAACATCCCATATTGATTAATTAGCTCAGTTGTTTAGTGCACTGGTCTAAAGAAGCCAAGAGCAATGTTTTAATGTCTTTAAAACAAAATTGTATTTATGAAGGAAAAATTCTGTGCTGCAATTATAAATTGCAGCCTAAGTTTTGATTAGATGGCTAAAAAAAAAGCCTGTCCTGTTACATCTAGCATCAGAATGGCAGTGGGGTTCATCAGTTTACTGGGATTGAAGCACGGACCAATTTCTTCATATCTTAAGGAAGACTAGATATTGATAGAAATGGTGACAGAGGCAATAAAAGAAAAAGTGATATGACATGATGATAGGCTAAAGTATATTGACTGAATAGGGTTGAGTCAAAGCATGTGTAGTATTAGAGAAAATCTGGATTTAGTTTTGAGTATTTATAATGCAATTTTGTGGTTTCTAGATAAGATACCACCACATTATTTCTTTAATAGTTCTAATTTCTGCAATATTTTGCAATTCATTAGTGGTTTTAGTTTTTAGCTTTAAGTTTTGCTTAAACTTAAAATATTTATGTAATTTAAAACAATTTTTGTCTCTAAATTAATTTATATGTAGGAAATTAATTTCTTGATTTTGTTTATCTTTGTCAGATAGGTATGATCACCTTCATCAGATATTTTCTGTATTCTTAGAGAAAGGCAATTTTATCAGAGACCACAAAGTCTTGTAAGGGCCTCTTTGATCCTTTTGCCATCTCAGTACAATTTTGAAAACTGCTGGGTGCAAGGCACTAAGATATCAGAGGTGATTGACATAAGCTAGGAGCTTAACAGATTCATAGAAGAGAAGGAAACAGGAAGAAAAAAAACCCATGCTTTTGCTATAGTACAGGTATCAGTATAAGAGCCAAAAGAAAAGCATAACAAATTAGAGAAATAATAATAAGGGAAAGGAGAGAACATTCAGTTTAGTAATCTTGTATAGTTTTTTTCACATTGCTTCTCTTAAAAAATTTCACCAATTCTCTTTTTCTACAGTTAAATAATTTGTGTTGTTTTGTTTTATATATTTTTTTGTGTTGTTTTGGTCTCAGTATTCATACTGACAACTGAAATCTTTTAAATCTTTACTAATTTTCTATGTATTCTGATTTAATACTATGTAGTAAAGCTGTATATAATTATGTGGGAGGTTGTATATATAAGTTACAAATGCTAAGAAAAAGTTTTGGGGAATTGTCAGTGTCATGAAGGAAGTCCAGCTCTGTATTGAACACTGGGGAAAGCATACAGTTTAGATTGACATTGAAACTGAGGGAAGTATTATAGGCAATAGGAAATAGCTGGACTTGAAGCACACCAGAAGGAAATGAGCTGGACAAGAAATGTAGGGACAGAGAATAGAGTAGGAATAGAATGTGTGGCTCACTGTTAGAGGGCCTTGAATGGGGATTTCAGACTTAATATGACAAATACTACAGTGTCGGTGATAATGCTGGAGGTGTAAACTGTGTTGTAAGTACAGTTGTGTAGAAAGTGATGATAGCAAGAGTAGAAAATGATTAACAAAGGAAGCCAATTATATGACTTGCTCTAAGCCAGATGTGCTTTGCTGGAGCAATAAAATGGAATTAGCTTATTTTTTCTTCTACCATTTTTATTTGAAAAATTTGTCAAGAGTTTCTATTCTGGTCAGGTGAATAATTCACTGAAAAAGAATCTGAGACTTGGGGACATGAATGTTGACATTTTAGTTTTAAATATGTTTTAATTCAAGTGAAGGTAAGCTGTTTACATGAAGTTAGATATTCAATGAGCACTTGAAAGTATGGGTTTGAATCTTTAGATGAGAAGATATATCAGATATAATATTTTGGGAAGCATCAGGAAAGGGACATAGTTAAGCCTTCCAATTAAATGGTGTGAGGCTATAGGATGAGAAGGCTCAGAGGGAAATGGTGAGGACTGAGACAAGGGGAGTTGGAACAGTCTGCGTTCTGGAGGAATAAGAGGAATCAGTGAAGAAAACAACTTGTGAAAAGAAAGTGTCTTCTGCAAAGTTGGCAAGGATTTACAACTTTTTTTCTTATTTGATTATTGTCTTAATATTTCTAAATCTATGTATCTTAAAGGGTTAAAAATGTTAATAGATGATCACTAATTTTCCCCCCCTCAATACTACCAATATGCATATATCTGAAAAAACTTAATTCTGATTTTTTTTAAACTAGATATTCATCTTTAGAAAACAGTCATATGAAAGGATATATATCAAAAGTGTGTCTTAGAAGTTCACAGAACCATAATAATGTTGGACTTGTCTTATCTGTCTAAAATATTAAATTCATATTGTATAGAAAATTATTTGGGGATTTGAGAAAATCTTTTCCACTGATTTTTATTACAAATTTTTAGCTTAGTTTTTGAGAGAAATTCTGAGTAACACTGAATTGTAATTGGTTATAATTGTAAAATTATTGTAGATACATGTATTAGATGAAATCTTACATAGTTAATTTGCTTTTTAAAGTTCTAAAATCAGGAGTACCAAATTCTGAATTAGTGGAATTGAAATTAATAAAGTTACAAAGCATTTTCATTCTGGTTGATTTTTATTCAACACTTTGAAATGAAATCATTCCTTGTTTATTTATTTCTTCAAGCTAGACTTCCCAGTAAAGTTTATCTTTTAAAATGGTTCATTGTACTTTTAATCCTTAGTCAAGGAAGTAGAAATTGTTGAAAGATTGTTAGTATAATATTTCCTCTTTTTTAGAGAGCTTTTTCTTAAGATAAATGTCTTACAAATCCAAATAGAATAACCGCATGTGCTTTGATCAGTTCTACTATTTATTATGTGATTTTTCAAATTGCTTTAGATATTGGATGCATGAGCTAGTAGATGTTTATTAAACTGGGGAATTCATTTAGCTTGGATAGCATTTTTGCCTTGTTCTTAATTGTTGGTCTTATTGATAAAGAATGGGATACTTTTTTTTTTTCATCTTTAAAGATAATGCCTTGTGGTGGGAGAATTTTATTTCTTTGTATGTACGTGTATGTGTATATATACACGTATTTATTTCTCATGCACTTTATGCAAGCTTGCTTTTATTTCTTATTTTGACATGTTTCCTTCAAAAACCCACTTCTAACCCTCCTAAGGCTAGTCACTCTTTTATGAAATTGTTTGAACTCATTGTACCATAAATTAGTTATACTTTGTCATTATTACCTTTAAGTTGCATTGCTAATACATATGCATGATACATCATATTTTATCAGTTATTTTCAGTTCTTTCATCCATTCATTCATTTTGAATTTTTATTGACTTTAGAGAGGGAGGGAGAGGGAGAGAGACAGAAATGTCAATGTTGAGAGAGAATCATTAATTGGCTGCCTTCTGCATGCGCCCCCACCGGGGACTTAGCCTACAACCCAGGTATGTGCCCTGACCACTAATCAAATCCGAGACCTCCTGGTTCATAGGTTGATGATAGACCACTGAGTCACTCCAGTTGGGCACCAGTTATTTTAAAGCAGACATAAGCCAAAATCAAAATAGTTGTAAATGAATTGGGAGGAAGGGAGCGGGGCTGTGCACTTCAATATGTACTTTATATCTTTTGCCTTTCTTAGCAGACATTTCAAATCCTCTCCTTCCTGTTTCTCATCATGGTGGCTTTATATACCTTTAAAAATAAAGTGTGAGCTATAGGTAAAATGAATGACAGTTAATATTTTTGTAAATATTGAGACTTACGTTTATGGAATTTAGTATAACTTTGTATAGACTATATTTTCTTACCTCTTGTGAACATGTAATGATTTTTTGGATTTTGTTACATGATAGAGACTTTAAAATATTGCACCAAAGTAACTTTTAAAGCTTACCTTTAAGCAGTTCATAGATGTGCCAGAAAGTTATTTTAAGCATTTCTAACATCATTTTAGTGTTAAAGTTTTTATGTTACTATAGTGCTAGAAGTCTAATTTTAGGACTTATTATTTTTGAAACAGAATTGACTTTCATGTCAGCAATAGAACCTTATGTTGAAGGTTCAGATTGGGGAAAATTTTGTATTGATTACATTTTTACCTAATTTATATTATTAATTTGTTTTAGATCAGGATTAGAATATCAGAATTACTATTTTGTGTATATTGCTAATATTAACAATTAAAATAGTTTTTGACAGTTTGCTATTGTAGTTAAAGCCATTTCCTGTGAAATGATACTTATATGTATTTAACCATGCAGATCCTCATTTTGTGGTCTGCCAGCTCAAGGTGAAGATATATTCCTCCAGTTCAGGACCCACACGTCGGGAAGACAAGTTCATGTACTTTGAGTTCCCTCAGCCATTGCCTGTGTGTGGTGACATCAAAGTAGAGTTCTTCCACAAACAGAACAAGCTAAAGAAGGTTTGCGCTTTACTTTTATTGGGAAAAATATAAAAATAACTGCACCTTGAATAGTAACCTTAGATCTTTTGTGTAAAGTATTTGGTTAGGCAGAAATCAACCTGTAAGGATATATTAAAAGGTTTATTTCATTTTATGACTGATATCTAATGAATTAGAATTGGTTTTCTGTTAGATTTGCACATGCATTGCTTACTATAGGCATTGATGAGTCATTATAATGGTAAATAATCCTATTAGAAGGAAAAGGACAAAAGACCTTTTAAAGTTAAATGTAATTTGAGATGAATTTTCTTTAACTTGAGTTATACAAAGAAATTTTGTAAAAATAGTAAAGATTGTATACATACTACGTGAAATCAATTTTAATCTTCTTAGAGGGGGTGATTAATTACCTGAGAAAAAGTTACCAAGGGATCACGAGTTTCAAATAAACTTGGTCTGTATGTATAAATAAGATCTGTTTCATGGTCTTATATAATGACACAAACCACTTTAACCCATTTTGGTTTCTGTTTCTTACAATTATGTCATTTTATATTTTGCTTCTTCAAATTTACTAAGTATTTCGAGTTTTAGCTAGAAGAGAAATAGATATGAAGAGGAAGTAATGAAGAATGGAAAAAATGTATTATTTAAATATATAGGCTTAAAAAAGTGAGGTTTGTATCTTATTCTATATTTAGAAAATATAAGCTCATTTTAAAACTATGTTGTTTTAAAATATTATAAGTGAACATTTTAGATGAAGCTAAAAAAAAATTTAATTGGTGATGAACAAAAATACTAGCTTTTGCATATTGTTACTTGCCTCTTTAAGCATCTGTATAGCACATTACCAATTTTTAGAAATTTTTAGTAATAGGATTGATTTAATTTTCCTGATGTTTAGCTTTTTTTTTTTTTTTTAAGAAAATAAGAGGAAGTTTCATTTACTACAAAAATTTTTAACTCTACTTTGACTTATTAGAAGAAATATAATTTTCTTTATTTAGAATCCAAGTAGTTAGGAAATAACAAAATGTTAAACTAATTTTTTCACCAGAAACCTATTTTTTTTTTACTTGTCCTATATAAATATATTTCAATAACTTTGAAAATTATTTTTTAATAATCCAAGAAGTGCCCAGCCGGTATGGTCACCAGTTCGATTTCCAGTCAGGGGACATGCCAGGATTGTGGGCTTGGTCCCTAGTGGCGGGGGCATGCGGAGGCAACCGATCAGTAATATTTCTCTCTCGTGATGTTTCTATCTCCCTATCCTTCTAAAAATCAGTAAAAATCTATAAAAAGAAGATGATACTATCTAAATAAATAAATAAACAAACAAACCAAGAAGCGTTAGCAAATGTTTTAAAATTAAGGTAGTTGTTTTTCTTCTATTCATTGTAAAACAAGTACACTTAAAATCTTGTATTTTGTCTTTAAAAACAAACAGGCACCTTAATCTATTTCTCTGTACCTTTGCGAGTGTGCTAATTCGTATTTCAGTTATCTCCTGTGCATTATATTAACACATGTAAAATGAAAGATTCGATTAAATATTTATAATATATCTGTATTTTGGATTACTTACATACATTTCTATTATATGTGATTTTTTTCTTCCTGTTATAAATGTTTGCAGTGATTTAAACAAAAACAGATTTAGTATAATCACTGTATTTATATGGAATACACATTTTTGGAAATTTGAATGTTACTAGCTTATTTTCTTCTGATTCTAAGTAAAATATGTGTGTAGTTACTAATTTAGTGACTTTGCTTAAAATAATTAAAACAAATGTTTTTTAAAAGGCAGTGCTAAGTACTATTAAAAGCTGCAAAAAACATTTAAGATATGATACTTCCATGGGTGGGATAACTTAAGGATAAATTAAATAAAATATTTAAATGACCAGATAAGGTATCACAAGGTTGTACAATACATCTTTAATTGTCAAATGATCCATGCAGACCAAATTCTAGTAAGAGAGGGAACATTTTTTTGTTGTTGGTTAAGAAAGGTTTGAAGTAATGAACGTCTGATGCCATTTTTGATTAATAAGACCTCATATTACTACTAAGAAGTGATTCCTTAAAAATAAGCATTTTATAACAAAAAAAAAGTCAGAAGTACTTACCGTCTCCCCTCCCACTTCATATTTTATTATGAATTTTTTCAAACATTCATTGTTACTTAAGAAACTAGAGCTGTTTAATGTTTGAATTGCCATAGCAATAAAAATGTATCTGCCTTGCTTCGTTGGGAAGTTGTACCTGATATTTCAACAACTTCTGTTAGAGAAAATTAAATCCATTTCTGAATTTTTAAATACATACATATATACAAACTCAAAACATTTTTGAAGGCTAATATTAGACTAGAAAGGAGACATTTTACTTAAGGTTTTAAAGCAAAAGTAAGCTATCTTATAACTTGTGGAATTACATTTTTGGTTTAAAATTTAAAGAAAAGAAAAATCATGTGAATTAGATACAACGAATTGCTAAGTATTAGTCTTTGTGTTTACCTTTATTCAAAATATTAAATAACATGGCTTATTTTGACTTTATTTTTTAGGACAAAATGTTTCATTTTTGGGTAAATACATTCTTCATACCAGGACCAGAGGAGACGTCAGAAAAAGTAGAAAATGGAAGTCTATGTGATCAAGAAATTGATAGTATTTGCAGTATAGAGCGATCAGATAATGACAAGGAATATCTAGTACTCACTTTAACAAAAAATGATCTCGACAAAGCAAATAAAGACAAGGCCAATCGATACTTTTCTCCAAATTTTAAGGTCAGTTAAAAACATTTCGAGGAGTTGGTGGGTGGCTTTGTGTGTGTGCTTCTTTTATTTTAGGTGTATAGCCTTGTGAAGGCCTTCCTTGACTAATTTTTAAATTAAATATTATTTAGAAGTAATATTTATGCAGCAGCAGTCTGATAGTTTCTAATAAAATTCAAGGTGTGTAAAAAGTCATGAAAGCTGTACTTTCCTTATTTCTTTGTTGTTTGGTTAAATTTGAGGCAGTTGTTTGGGAGGAATTAATTAAGTGGGATATGAAGGAGAAATAGGGGAAGTAAAGGGTAGAAGAAACTCTTAATTATTTGAGAAGAATTCATATGGGATGTTCTCACTGATTTTACTCTTGTACTCCTCCAATTTATTCTCAGTCCCTCACAGTGATCTTAAGTAGAGATTGATTGTGTCATTCCTGTTGACAATTTTTAAGATGTTACAGTCTTTGTTTTGCCCAACAAGAACTTGTATTATTTAGCACAGGTATTTCTTAGCGCAGGCCTACCTCCTATATCAACCGGAGATATATTCTTTCCCTTTTCCCTGGGATTCACTCATATTGGTCTTTCTTTATCTCCAAGATGGTTCTGCCTCTGGTCTTTTCAGTTCTTCCCTCTTCCTATACCTCTCCACCCTCAGCCTTTTCCCTACCCTTCACATAGATACCCTTCTCATATTCTAGTCTTTTTTTTTTTTTAATATATTTTATTGATATTTTACAGAGAAGAAGAGAGAGGGATAGAGAGCTAGAAAGGTCGATGAGAGAGTGACATCGACCAGCTGCCTCTTGCACACCCCCTACCGGGGATGTGCCCGCAACCAAGGTACATGCCCTTGACTGGAATCGAACCCGGGACCCTTCAGTCCACAGACCGACGCTCTACCACTGAACCAAACCAGTTGTGGCCCATATTCTAGTCTTATCTTCAGTTTTATGTGGACTAAAAGGCGTTCTCTCGTCATCCTCCCCTTTTACCACCTTTCTACAATTGTTTCCTCTCATTATGGAATTATTTTATTTTAATTTCATATATTTGTGATTGATTGATTGATTGTATGTGTGTGTGTTCCCGTGCGTAAGTAATAATTCTCCAGGTTCCAAAATGGAGGTTTGATATTTTTTTCTTTTCCTTTCTTATTTCATACTCTGTTTGACTTCCTCCCTTTGCTTTCACCATCCTTCCTACTTTCTCTCTTTAAAAATTCTTACTTTTTTTCTTCATTCCATTTGTATATATAACAATCTTAATCATAGCTTAAAAGTGTAAGAATATTGCTAGTAATAATAAAATAAAGGGATTGGTTACACATTTTAACTGAAAATAGATCCATTATTAAGTACCTTTAGATCGTGTATTTTCTTAAAGTATTTGTAAAGTATCTTTTAGAATCCACAGGTTTCCATTTACTTTCTTTTCTTTAGTCTACATTTTTCTCAATCACTAGCTTTTAAAGTATAACTTGCTTTAGTTTTATTGTTTTCTGTTTTAATATATTGTATACTTGTGATTACAAAAAAACTTTTAAATATCAGTAAACAAAAACAATATTTTAATTATTGGTAAGTGCTATGAAAAATAAAGCAGAGGCTCAGTGATAGAGCGTTGACCTATGAACCAGGAGGTTCAATTCCCTATCAGCACATGCTCAGGTTCTAGGGGGCATGCAGGAGGCAGCGAATCAAAGATTTCTTTCTCATCATTGATATTTCTCTTTCTCTCCTTTCCTCTTTGAAATCAATAAAAAATATATATTTTTTAAATAAATAAAGATGTGATAGAGAATGATCTTGTGTATTTTTTAACTGAATGGTTAGAGAAGGTCTCCCCAAGCAGGTGGCATTTTAATTAGAGGCCGAAATGAAATAAGTGAACTATACAAATATCTGAGAAAAGAGCAGGTACAAAAGTCCTGGGATATTAAGGAGCTTGGTGTTATTTGAGGATCAATAAATAAGTCATTTAATGTCTTTACATTCGGACTAAAGCACACTAGTCCAAATGTAAAAACATTAGTGTGTATTTAGCATAGGAAAGATGTAATCTGAATGCTCACTCTCTCCACTTCTTGAATATATATAGGTTGGAGAGGAGTTAAGATTGGGAATTGTTGCAGTGGTTTGGTTCAGATGAGAAGTGGTGGTGGTTTGGACTAGTAGAGTAGAATAGAGTAGTAGCAGTGAGGGGTAATGAGAAGCTATCTGGTATACTGTTGGCTCTTGCATGACATGGGTTTGAACTGCACAGATCCACTTATATGAGGATTTTTTTTTTCTCTTCAATAAATACAGAGTCGGCTCTCTGTAACCCCAAGTTTTGCATCCACAGATTCAACCAACAGGGCCAACTATATGCATTGTTTTATGCCCTTTTATATAAGGGACTTGAGCATCCACAGATTTTGGTAACCACAGAAGGATAATGGAACCAATCCCTGATGGGTACCAGGGGAATAGCTGTAAAGTTTTTGCGGAGTTGAAAGTTATACACCAATTTCCAGCTGCATAAGAGTTGGTGCTCCTGACCTCTTTGTTGTTCCAGGAGCAACTGTTTATGGATTACTGATATAAAAGAAGGAGAAGAATTGATGACTCTTAGATAATGTGAGGAGAGGCTATAGATATAATAGAGTAAGCAAGGGATTCTAATTTAAATCTTACTAGATAGGTGGTCTTCAGCAAGTTACCTAATCTCTCTGGGCCTTAGCTTCCTCTGCTTTAAAATGGAATTCTTGTAGAGCTGTTTTGACAATAATTTTATTAAGCCTGTAAGGCCCTTGATTGTCTATTTAAACCACTGTATGATGATAACTTTCTTTTCCTTCCTTCAGGAGAAGTTTTTAGGACTAATGAGATCTTAAACATTGTTGTTGATCAATATTTTATATAGTACTGGAGACCTGGTGCACAGATTCGTGCATTGGTGGTGTCCCTTGGCCTGGCCTGTGGGGATCGGCCAAAACTGGCATTCCGACATCCCCTGAGTGGTCCTGGATTGTGAGAGGGCACAGGCTAGATAGAGGGACCCCACGGGTGCATGATCAGGAGTGGAGAGGGACTGCGGGAGGGCTCCAAGGCATGTCCAGCCCGTCTCACCCAGTCCTGATTGGACCAAACCCCAGCAGCAAGCTAACCTACCAGTCGGAGCATCTGCTCCCTAGTGGTAGTGCATGTCATAGCGACTGGTTGAACCAATGATCAGACACTTGGCATATTAGGCTTTTATTATATAGGATAATATTTGTATTTGTTTAGTATTTTTATATCAGAAAATACATAGATTTTCAAGTAGGTAGTAAGTGAAACATTCTTTTGGAACTCAACTGTCAGTGAATAGAATTTTGTGATGAAAATATATTTTGTCAACTATTGATGAACTTCAGTCTCAGTGTATATTTGTTTTGTATATTTAGATAATGCTTGAAGTTAATGCTTATTAAAAATATATATTAACATGCCAGTTTATCTTTTTACCATATAAGAAAAGACAGTGTAAGAAATTTTAAGAAGGGGGAGAGGGTCATTTAAAAGGCAGCTGCCTTTTAAAGATCATGTTTGTCATAGTACTTAAAAATGAATCTGCTAAAAGTATGTCTATACTAAGTAATTTAAGATTAGTCTGATTTATGGATTTTTCATTTAAACTTTCTCTTTTTTCTCTAGGTGAAGCTATATTTCACAAAAACAGTAGAGGAGCCATCAAATCCAGAGGCTAGCAGTTCAACTTCTGTAACACCAGATGTTAGTGACAATGAACCTGATCATTATAGGTATTCTGACACCACTGACTCTGATCCAGAGAATGAACCTTTTGATGAAGATCAGCATACACAAATTACGAAAGTCTGAATTTTTTTTAATGAAGAGGGATAAAATACCATGAAAACAAACTTGAATAAACTGAAAATGGACCTTTTTTTTTTTTTTTTTTTTTTTTTTAATGGCAATAGGACATTGTGTCAGATTACCAGTTATAGGAACAATTCTCTTTTCCTGACCAATCTTGTTTTACCCTATACATCCACAGGGTTTTGACACTTGTCCAGTTGAAAAAAGATTGTGTAACTGTGTCATGTATATACCTTTTTGTGTCAAAAGAACATTTAAAATTCAATTAGGATAAATAAAAATGGCACTTTCCCATTTTATTCCAGTTTTATAAAACGTGGAGACAGACTGATGTGTATATGTAGGAATTTCTCATTGTGTGTTCTGTCACCAACCGAAGTGGCTAAAGAGCTTTGTGATGATATACAGGTTCACATCCTACCCCTTTGCACTTGTGGCAACAGATAAGTTTGCAGTTGGCTGGAGGAGTTTCTAAAGGGTTTTGCTACATTCTAATGCATGTATTCGAGTTAGGGGAAGGGAGGGAATGCTCAGAAAGGAATATATTTTATGCTGGACTCTGGACCATATAACATCTCCAGCTATTTACACACACCTTTCTTTAGCATGCTACAGTTATTAATCTGGATATTTGAGGAATTGGCCGCTGTCACTGCTTGTTGTTTGTGCATTTTATTATTTTTTTAAAGCATATTGGTGCTAGAAAAGGCAGCTAGAGGGAGTGAATCTGTATTGGGGTACAGGAATGAACCTTGCACAACATCTTAAGAATCCACAAATGAAGGGATATAAAAATAATGTGGTCACAGATAAGAAACACAGCAACAATGACTTAACCATATAAATGTGGAGGCTATCAACAAAGAATGGGCTTGAAACATTATAAAAATTGACAATGATTTATAAATACGTTTTCTCAATTGTAATGAATGCTCCATCTCCTGTGTAATCAAGGCCAGTGCTAAAAGTCAGATACTCTTATTACCTACATCAGTCAACAACTTACACATATTTTATTAGTTTTCAATCATATACCTGCTGTGGATGCTTCATGTGCTGCCTGCAAGCTTCTTTTTTCTCATTAAATATAAACTGTTTTGTAATGCTGCACAGGAAATTTCAATTTGAGATTCTACAGTAAGCAGTTTTTTTTCTTTAAAGATTTATGATGCACTTATTCAGTCCAATAGCTGTCAGCCGTTCCACCCTTTGACCTTACACATTCTATTACAATGAGTTTTGCAGTTTTGCACATTTTTAAAATGTCATTAACTGTTAGGGAATTTTACTTGAATACTGAATACATATAATGTTTATATTTGAAAGGACATTATTTGTGTTAAAAAGGAAATTAGAGTTGCAGTAAATTTCAACGCTGCACAAACAATAAAGCATTTACTTTTTCAGTAGAAGTTGTCCCACATAATGCTTTTAACAATTTGCTATTGAAAGAATAGATTTTCTTTTAGATGTGCAGTGTTGAATTATTTCTTGATAGTGCTAGAGTTAGAACTAGGGCTTCTTTTTCACTTAAGTATCATATATTTGATATGCCCAGACTGCATATTATTTTAAGCAGAGTACAACTACTAATGTAAAGCTAATGTGAAGATATTATTAAAAAAAAGAATTTCCCCCCAGAAATTTGGTGTCTTTCAAGTAATAGCTTGCCCTTGAAACATTTGAATATCCAATTTATTTCTTAATGGTGTAAAATCTCATTTTCAATAACTTATTGGTGCTGAAATTGTTCACTAGCTGTGGTCTGACCTAGCTAATTTACAAATACAGATTGCATAGGACCTATTAAAGCAGCATTTATAGAGTTTGATGGTAAATAGATTAGGCAGAACTTCATCTAAAATATTCTTAGTAAATAATGTTAACATGTTTTCCATACCTCATCAGTTTTCATTCAGCAAATAAAATTTTTAAATTTTTAACAAAGCTCTTAGGATTTACACATTTATATTTAAACATTGTTATATAAAGAATTGATTGACTGCTCATAAATTAAATTGGTAAGGTTAGAGACAACTATTCCTAAGATCTCACATTGGAATTTATATGCCACCTTTCATAAAAGCTAAAAATTGTTGACTAAGTTGAAAATCATTGATGTTTTGAAGATAGTTACTATTACTGTTATTTGTTACAGTTTTGGGCACAGTATATTAAAATATAACTTGTATTGTTCCGATATGTAACATGGAGGGCCAGGTCATAAATAATGACATTATAATGGGCTTTTGCACTGTTACTATTTTTCCTTTGGAATGTGAAGGTCTGAATGAGGGTTTTGATTTTGAATGTTTCAATGTTTTTGAGAAGCCTTGCTTACATTTTATGGTGTAGTCATTGGAAATGGAAAAATGGCATTTTATATATATTATATATATATATAAATATATATTATACATACTACTCTCCTTTATTTCAGTTACCATCCCCATAGAAGTTGACAAGAATTGCTATGACTGAAAGTTTTTGAGTCCTAATTAAAACTTTATTTATGACAGTATTCATAATTAGCCTGAAATGCATTCTATAGGTAATCTCTTGAGTTTCTGGAATGTTTTCATAGACTTTTTGGATGTGCAGCCGCTTACATGTCTGAAGTTACTTGAAGGCATCACTTTTAAGAAAGCTTACAATTGGGCCCTGTACCATCCCAAGTCCTCTGTAGCTCCTCTTGAATATTTTTTGCCATAATTATTAAAGGGTAGTTGAATAAATAGCATCACCATTCTTTGCTGTGGCACAGGTTATAAACTTACGTGGAGTTTACTGGCAGCATCAAATGTTTCAGCTTTAAAAAAATAAAAGTAGGGTACAAGTTAAATGTTTAGTTCTAGAAAATTTGTGCAATATGTTTATAACGATGGCTGTGGTTGCCACAAAGTGCCTCGTTTACCTTTAAATACTGTTAATGTGTCATGCATGCAGATGGAAGGGGTGGAACTGTGCACTAAAGTGGGGGCTTTAACTGCAGTGTGTGGCAGAGTTGCCTTCTACCCTGCCAGTTCAAAAGTTCAATCTGTTTTCATATAGAATATATATACTAAAAAATTTCAGTCTGTTAAAACAGCCTTACTCTGATTCAGCCTCTTCAGATACTCTTGTGCTGTGCAGCAGTGGCTCTGTGTGTAAATGCTATGCACTGAGGATACACAAAAAATATGTGTACAGAATAATGCCTCATACCAATCAGATGTCCATTTGTTATTGTGTTTGTTAACAACCCTTTATCTTTAGTGTTATAAACTCCACTTAAAACTGATTAAAGTCTCATTCTTGTCATTGTGTGGGTGTTTTATTAAATCAGAGTATAATTTAAATTGCTTAAATTTGTTGAAATTTTAAATAATGGGCAGCCAAATGTGCTTACTACATTTTCTATTAAGTTTCCCCCCGATCTCCCCCCCCCCCCCCCCCTGCAGTCCTTCATAGTCTACAATTATTAAAACATGGACTTTGTCAGCCTGGGAGTAGAGTATCAGTCTACTCACGTTTGAGAAAGGCACTTTTTAGGGCCTTTAGTCAACACTTAATAAATTGTTTTAAGCACATTACGTAACATCCTAATCTTGAAAAACTTCAAGATTCTTGAAAAATTTGTGCATTTTTTTTAAAACTAAGCCAGATGTCTGCAGATAATTCCCCAGAACGGATTTGATACTTCAGATTTCAGTTTGTGGCTTTTTCATTCTTTATGATTCTGTAGTCTGCCATTAACATATGGGAGGGAAGCTTCATCTACTCATTGTGATTAGTGCCATTTACAAATTTCTATTCCAGAAGAGTGTAAAGAACTTGAATTCAACCTTGTTATTTCTAATCTTAAAAGCTTAAAGACTGAGGCATATCCTTTCAGCAAAGCATAGTAAGGTAATAAGCGTGGCTGTACAAATGATTTTAAAAATAAAGCAGAGCATTTGTGTAACTGGAATTTAATGATATTTCAAGTTTAAATTTTCTCCATGTGACTTTTTTTTTAAAGTGAATGTGAATAATGTATAATATAAAAAAGTATGAGAAGTGTGTATACACACAATTTTTTCCTTTTGAAGTATGTTTATAAACTATACTGGAATCTAAAATTGGTGATTTCTGAAAAATAAGATTTGCTGGCAATTTTATATTTGTTCATGCTCTTACTATAGTATAATTTGAGCTATTAGTTAAGTGAATGCCATCACCATTTCCATTGAGAATTTAAAAATCACCAGTGTTTAACATGCAGGCTTCCAAAGGCTTACAAAAAAAATCAAGACCCTTAAATCTAGTTGATTTGCTGCTAACGTGAAACTTTGTTCTTTTAGTCTTGCCAGACAGTTAACCTCACATCTAAGACAGTCTTAAATAGCTTAAGTATAAGTTTTGATTAGCAGTGCTGTTACTAGTACAGAGAGAAATGTTTATGAAACAATAATAAATACTCATTCTGAACTGGTATAAGGACAGTACCTAAAAATTATTAGACTGATTTTCCTATGGAATTATATAGCTATACAAAGCCCAATGGTTAAGTCACTTGTCAGTTGTTTTCCATTCTTAGAGCAAATTTATTCTTTTTTGGCCTGATGCTGCTATTTTTTCATCTTTTAAGAAATCGTACAAGTATATCAGAATGTATGTAGCCACTCTGACAAATTCATAGTGGTTGGTAGCTTTTAAGTTTAATGTGAAAACAGAAAAGGACAAAATAGTTGTGTCGGTGGTAAAACATTTGGTTCTTAAATTATTTTGAGAATACTTTCCCATAACTACAACAAAATAATTACTCATAATCCCACCACCTGGAGACAAAGCCATTATTAATACTTTAGTGACTATACAATCATTTTTCTATATATTCATGTTTATTTTCTTTAAAAATGAAATCTGTGCTGTGCATACTCTCTACGCCTTTAAACTTAGTGTTTCTGTCATGGGTTTGTAGAATGTGCAGTTACATCAGGAAATGGACAGTGGCTTGATTCTAATGCTACAGATGCAAATTGTGTACAGCTATTGAGAGCCTTTCTAATTGCGTGAGTTAACCGGGAGTGTTTAAATATTGTTGCCATCGGGATGGTATCAATGTTTAAGTAAATGAACAGCCACATTTACTTAGCAAGGACAAGCTTAACACTAGATACGTCTCTTTAAACACCATTTTAAATATTTGCATTTTGGATTTATATGTAACATAGATAAAAATATGTGAAATACTATTAGTAATCTTCATCACCTTTCTATTTCCCTTATAGGTGGGAAAAGAAGGATGAGATTTTCAGTTTTTATAATTCCCAAGCAGTTGCTTGGAGTGTGTTATTTTAACACCTTAAAAAAGCGAAGGCTACTGATGTTTTATCACTTTGTCTTTCAATCTGTGTGCTCATGTGACTTCCATTACATCAAAAACTATCTCATGAATGTTTCACTATTAGCTCTGGAACTTACCATGCTTAGTATAATGGTGGACTTTATACCAGAACATACAACTCTTGACAGTTATTTGAGAATTTTGGTGAAAAACAGTTTAGTTGGAAGGTATTGGTATTATAAGCCAATGTATTGATATTTTAAAAAAAATTTTGCATACATAAGTGAAGTCAACTGCCATCTTTGAGCATTACCACCTTTTAAAATCTGCATATTTTTTAATGAACTTTTAAGGATTTATATTTTTTTAATTAAAAATAATTTATTTCTCTTTTGTTGCATGTGGATTTTCATTTGTCCTTAAAATGGTCAGAAAGTTTGTTTCTAGAGCAAGACTTGAAGTCATGGCTCCAGTGTTTCAGTTTGTGAAATTTGTGTACTATAGTGAAATTCTTAAAATGTTTAGGTGTGGCTTTCTGTATCATTTACTGACTTTTACTTATGTGCACCTTTAGGATTTTCTGCCTACTCTGTACAGTTGTCCAAATGATATCCCTGATTTACAAATTCCCTTTCAGTTTCTGTTTTCTTTTGTTGTTGTTTTTCTTTGTTAGTTTCTATTTTCTTTTACTATTTAAATTGCCCTAATTGGCAGATTATAAGTGCGTGCGTGTGTGAGAGTGTGTGTGTGTGTGTGTGTGTGTGTGTGTGTGTGTGTGTGTGCGCGCGCGCGCGCGCGAGAGAGAGAGAGAGAGAGAGAGAGAGAGAGAGAGAGAGAGAGAGAGAGAGAGAGAGAGAGAGGGAGGGAGGGAGGGAGGGAGGGAGGGAGGGAGGGAGGGAGGGAACGCACTAGACTCCACAACTTTAGAAATTAAAATAGTTTGATTCAGGCAAACAGTTCTCACTGGAAGTTCACAGTTCATTGTAATGAAAATGTTATTCTGGATGACCTTTGACATACAGTAATGAGTCTTGGATATTAATGGGTATGTTAGTGGCATTTTGATAGATGCATTAATGAATTATTTTCAAAGCTGTTCATTTAACCAAAGTTGGTGTATTGGGAATGTTTACATCAAGTTCCATTTGGCTACTGATGGACATAAAAAATAGGAATTCTTTCTTATAGAGAGTATTTTTTCTTTTAACAAATTAAAAGGATAATTATTTTGAATAATTGGTTTTAAACTTTTTATTCAGCAAGTATGTGTCAAGTCCCTGCTGTATATAAAAGAGGCTTGGAATATATTACTGATCAAAACAGACACCTTTTCTTGCCCTTGAGGAGTCTCCATTCTAGTAGAGGAAATAGATTTTATTAAAATTATTATGAATTGTGATACATGCTGTGAAATAAGAGATGCATATGTCACAGTAATAATCACCAAACATTCCATATGCTTTTAAAATTTCCATCTCCTGTTTTAATGGGGCCATTATAACTATTATAGTTTATTCCAGTGAAATAGAACTGAAAGTTATGTGACATTTCTGAGGAAAGGCATTAAAAATGAAGTTTCTTGTACAATCCTCTAGCTTCTGTCTTTCTGTAATGTGACCAGAGACAGCATGTTCTGTTCAGTGTAGGTCTTGAGTGACTTTTTAGAACTCCTTCAAATATTTTTGCTACATTGAATATGTTAGACAGTAGCATGAGCAAGAAATAATTATCTTAATTTACACTGCTATTCTGGAAAATTTGTTAGCATGGCATAATTATGTTCCAACCAATGCTTTGGAAGGATCAGGGATGGATTTCTTGAGCCACCAACAGGGAGGTAAGAATGAAGCAAAATCAAAAGTGACATCTGTAAACAACATGATGTAATACTAGTCATTCAGTAGTGGCTGATATGCTTGGGATACGAATGGGTGAACAGCAGATCCCTGCCATAATGGAGCTTACATTCTAGTAAGAGATAATGGATGATAATTAACATTGTATATAAGGTAATAAGTGCTATGGGGGAGAAAATGTGGAAGAGGGTTCCCAGAGGTGGAGAGATGGCATTGTTGGATAGGGAAGCTGGGAATAGACCTCACTGGAAAGGTGAGAATTGAACAGTCTCACCTTTAGTGAATAGTGGTGGAATTTTTTCAACCTTTCAATCAGCAGGAAGCACTCATTATCCTCTATAAAATTTTATTCTTGTTTTTTACAACTCTATATTAATTCCTGAATTAATGTTATTATTGGTATACCTAGGGAGAATTTTTAAGGATATCACCCCAAATAGTCACAATGTTCTAAAATCATTTCTTCTCTAAACTGGTTTGGCAAAACCTATAAACATCTGTTTTTGCTCATATTAAGAGCAATTTAAAATTTTTCTTACAATCTACTAATTGTGGTTATATTTTGAAAATAATTGATATCACTTTCAGTAGAAGTTCAAAAGTTCTGTTATGGCTTCAAACATTTCTGGAAACCTGGAAGGAAATGTCATTTATGATTTATTGATGGGAAACAAGTTGTAAATTTTGAGTTACTTGAAAAACAAGAGGGGTGAGATTTATTGCCTAGGCTTATATGTTTAATTATTAGCTCATAAGCAGAAACCTTTGGAAAAATATCAATATCTATATAGTAAAAGAAATGCTTTCTTTCACAAAGAGAGAATCCCTCTTTTGTCTATTTTATGGTCCAAGAATAACTGTGGTCAAGGGAAATAGTATAATTGAATTGATTTAATACCATAGAAATTTACAACTATTTATTAGGGCAGGTACATATAATTGGGCATGATATTTTGAAAGAAAGGAGTAACTATTAACTTAAAAAAAATTTAATACATCTTTATTGCTCAGATTATTACAATTGTTTCTCCTTTTCCCCCCATAGCTCCCTTCCACCCAGTTCCCATCCCACCCTCTTCCCCCCCCCCCCCCCCCCCCCCCCCCCCGCCCGGCATTGTCCTCATCCATCCGTGTAT